CACCTGAGCTTCCTGAACTTCTGAATTTCGGCTAAATAAAAGATGACAAAGTAACCAACATGGTTTCTATCACACATAATACAGTTTACTTACAACATAAATTTAGAGTACTTTAGGCATTCACATTCCATTTCTTGCCTTTTTCAGAAATATCCCCCGCCCTAATTTTTAAATATTATTGCGTTATTTATTCTAAAGCATTTTTTTTTTTTACTTCATCTCAGGAACTACCATTTAAGCTTCAAAAGATCCAGTTCAAATATCACACTGTGGTGGATGTATCCCTAAACCAGTGCCTGCATGTAGCCCTAAAATGCAATATATCTACTACAGAGCCCTTATCCTAGACTGTGAACTTGGAGTGCAGGATCTGTCCCTATTTATTCTAATATCTCCACAAGCTATCATCTCTCCTGACACACTGCAGATAAGCAATCATGTTTGTTGCACTGTTGCTTCTTCCTTCTCCCAGGAAGAGTATTTTATAAAATCTCCAGATAGTTTAATGGAAACCTAAGCAATTAGGGTTATTTCTGTAGACGTTACAATTAGAAGAGTGAATGGTTTTGTTGGTTATTATTTCCTTCTGCAGAATTCTTGTTCAGCAGAAATATCCTAATAGGCAACCATTCAGTCATCTCTTGGGCCACAGAGGAGACAGTGTAGTGAGGGTACATGAGGCATTCTACATCAGACAGCACACTGCCAGTCACCTGAATTCCAGAAATTGCATGTGGAACAGCGGAGCAGTCTGATCTACAGAGCTGGAATTCTAAGAACGTAAAACTGATTTCTTGGCTCGAAAATTCATTTGCAATTACTGACCACAGAGAAAGCTACTCCCGAAAATTTCATTTTCTTAAGAAGATGTAACTGAGAACTGAAAAAGTACCCATGAATCTTTGTGAGGAGACATACACTCTTTACTTGAAATACATTTTTTGTTGTTGTTCCGTTGACTACAAGAAAGCAAATCGACAGAACTATTTGCACAAATTTACAAACTATAAAGACCATTTACAGTACCTGTAACAAATGACACAGCAAAAGGAACATCTAGGGCAGGATGATGTTGGAGAGGAATGAACCACTGGATAGGACAACTGGGCTATGGCTCTAGGTCCCTGGCTGAGAGGGTTAGGGTACCCTCTGGGTACTCTACTCAACTTTTATTTTCTTTTTTATCCCCTTGCATACAATTCAAATTAAATTTCACAATAAAAGGTTTCAACAGGGTGACATCCTACCAAGCTCAGTTATATCAGCAGCCACACTAGTTGAATTAAACTTATCCTCTTATCCCTCTAAAAATGACCCCTTCATGGCTGTCATTCACTCCTTTAGGTCCTATGCAATACCAAGTACCAACTACTACATCTACCTGAAGGTTCTTGTTTTTCCTAACACATCAATCTCAGCATGACAAAGTAGAATGAAGAATGCTCACACTTAGTTTCAAGCCAAAAATAAGCCCCTGACTTAGCTAGCATAAACACAAACAAAAATTGAAAAAATTGAAAGTATAAGTTAGCCCAACTCTCTGGGAAAATTAAACAGAATATTTTAAACAGGGCGCCCTTTTTTTTGAGTTTTTTTTTTGAGAGAGAGACTTAGAGGGGCTGAGGGGCTGGAGTACAGTGGTGTGATCTCGGCTCACTGCAACCTCCACCGTCTGGGTTCAAGTGATTCTCCTGCCACAGTCTCCTAAGTAGCTAGGATTGCAGGCACCTGCCACCACACTCAGTTAATTATTTTGTATTTCTAATAGAGATGCAGTTTCATTATGTTGGCCAGGCTGGTCTCGAACTCTTGATCTCGTGATCTGCCTGCCTTGGCCTTCCAGAGTGTTGGGATTACAGGTGTGAGCCAACATGCGAGGCCGGAATTATGTCATTTTCTATGAGGTTTTCAAGGCCTTGGGTTCTCTACTCTTCTCTTATCTCTCTTTCTAATGGATTTAAAGTCCATTTATAAGTTAACAGTTTACATTGTTTTATAATTATGACTCAAAACTATTGTTGGAGCTTCAGACCTATACCCATTTCATTTTGGGTATAGTATATTTAAGAAGCCTCACATATGTAAGAATCCCAACTGAAATTGATTTTCTCCGTTGCACTCCCAGCAGCCTCCCTCATTTCATGTGTTGCTATCATCCACACAGTGCTTCATGCCACATACGCATCCCATTCATTTGGCTTCATCTTCACTATCACACATGTCTCTAAGCCAGAGGTTCTCAAAGTGCCATCAATATTGCCCAAGGACTTCTGAAAAAAGCAAATATTGAGGCTTCCTGCACCTCTATTTCTTATAAATCAGCTTCTTTGAAAGTAGGGCCCAGTAATACGTGCTGTTACAAGCCCTCCAGAGGGCCCTGATGCACAGTGCAGTCTGAGAACCACCTCACTTAGCCACCCTATTCTAGCTAGATACCTGCAACAAACTCATAATTGGTCTTTCTGCTGCTACTTTTGCCCCCTCCATTACCTTCCCAGAAAATGCAGTAATTTTATTCCCAAATTTGATGCAGCCACTCCCTCTTCCTTGCTTAGTACTTCTTAGTGGTCTTTAAATGCACTCAGAATAAATTTTAAAAAATGTATCATGACATACAAGGAGCTGCATGAATATGATTCTTAACTATTGGTCTAATATCTCCTCTTACCCTTCCTCTCATCTCCTTTGCTGATTAATCCATTGCCACATCAGCCATCTGACTTGCTGGTCATTCTACTTTTCACATTGCTGGCTTCTCTTGTAGAAGGTCCTTCCTTTCCTACCTCCATTACCCTCTACCACCTTCTTCATTATCATACTTCAGAATTTGCATGTACATATCTGTTTACTGAGTACCACGTAACTCTATCCTAGGTGCTGAATTGTGCAAGAATAGGGACCGCATTTGTGTCATCTCCATTATGTACCTACGCATTGACTCTCACAATTATTATAACATGATAGGTATTTAAAAACAAAACAACAAAACCTTGTTGAATGGCTAATCAAATGCAATCCTTACAAAGGATAAAATACAAACCAAACTAATAAAAACAAAATTAATCCCAGCACTTCAAGAAGCTGAGGCAGGGGGATCACAAGGTCAAGAGATTGAAACCCTCCTGGCCAAGATGGTGAAACCCTGTATCTACTAAAAATACAAAAATTAGCTGGACATGGTGGTGTGCACCTGTAATCCCAGCTACCGGGAGGCTGAGGCGGGAGAATCACTTGAACCCAGGAGGGAGAGGTTGCAGTGAGCTGAGATTGCACCACTGCACTCCAGCCTGGAGACAAAGCAAGACTCCATATCAAAATAATAAAAAATAAAATAAAATAAAATAAATCAGTGTTCATGTTGGTTCTTAAAAATAGTGTGCTTAAGAACTCCCACGTAAGATCCGATCTGAAGTTGGTGAATGCTACTTGGGAAATTTTATGGATATTGGACAAATTATATGTGCCAGAAATTTAACAATAGTGTAGGGTTTATGCTGGAAAAGATTAATGAACCTATTTAATCCAATTGATCTTACAATAAGCCCTGAGCACTTCACCTATGTACCATAGTCCTTGACTCTCTACCTTTAGTTTTGGCTGATTTATCTTACAGCACATGGCAGCACCCAATAAAAACACACTTTCAGTGTCACCCAGGTTATACTGCTTTGATTCTGCTTTTGATTACACCCTTGAGTTTACCTTTTACGTTTCTGTTTTGTTTTTATTTTCTCTTTTTACTTGCAAGTTTAGCATGCCTTGGATTCAGAATAATCTTAACTTCTTTTTTGATCTTGTCTGTTTACATTTATATAAGCCATGGATGGTACCTGTTGATTCCAACCATTCCTGAATGCCAGAGCATAATTCTTTTGACCCAATTTTAGTGCCAGTTCACATGTATGGTGCACCTCACGATGCGGACAACTGGATAGGTGCAAGCAGATCTATGCTAAGGCTATGTGCAGATGAAGTAACTGGCCTGTAGTGACTTCACCCCTCCCTATGTGAACAACTGTTTCTTCTTAGAAACCCCAACATAACCTTCCACTTTCCAAGAAATGGATTTGCTTTCTACACCCAAGAAGCCTTGTTATCAATAATTCCAAAGGTGTCTCCTAAGATATAGGATACCTATAATAAAGGGTAATGACATAATTTATTGCTTTACAAAAGACATTAAAGGAATTGTCTAGGATAGAGACTGCGATGGTTAATCTTATGTTCTACTTGACTGGACCATGGACTGCCCTGATAGTTGGTCGAATATTCTGGGTGTGTCTGTGAAGTTTCTGGATTAGATGAACATTTGAATCAGTAGGTGAGTAAAGCAAATTGCTTTCCCACAGGATGGCTGAGTTTTACCCAATTATTTCAAGGCCTGAATAGAACAAAAAGGCTAAGAGAGAAATTTCTGATTGTTTTGAAGCTAGGACACTGGATGATGGATTTGACATAATCTTGTGAAAGGAAGTGGCTGCTTACTTAAGGTCACATTTTACAGAAAGTGGGAGAGATTACAGAAATGCCTAGCACTGCAATTACTTAGATTATCTAATTATAAATATCACATAAAGTGATACACTAAAATGTCTGAAAAAATAATAAAAAATCACTACCACCAAATAAAAAAGGAAAAGGAAGGAAGAAACAGTAGGGAGGCAGAAGAAATAAAAAGTATAATCAAGAGAAGGATCTTGTGAAATTGTTAGGTGGTAACAATTTCACCTAATCCATTTGCTAAGTAATCCTAGTCTCAGATTAAATGAGATAATTCACACAGGTGATGAATATAATGCACAAAATTCAATACACATTTTCCATCATCATCATCACCATCATTATTATTGGACACCAGTTTTTGCTGATGCCCACAACAAATTGCATGCTCTCTTGCATATACATACAAACATTAAACAAGAAACACTTGTTTAACTGACCAAATTAAAAGTCTGTTCATTCGTCTCAACAAGGGAAGAAAGGAAGCAAGCAGAACTCACATTGAGCTGTAGTTCGTCTGTCCACTGCCCAATCAGACGGTAACCAGGGTTGCTGGTGTTTGTGGTCTGGTATTGAAAGATGTCATAACGCCCAGGTGCATCCCCGTTCTTGTTAAACATCACTGGAGTGCCAGCACTACCTAAGGAAGACAGAAAAAATGAAAGATTCTAAAGTTAAACAAGATTCCTTATATCTCTTGTACTATGAGTGACAGGTTGGAGACTTGCTGAGGAGCAAGGTAGTTAGTAGATATCCCCTTTAATAGAGTCCCCCAAATAGCCCCTGAAATTCATAGGCAGATTATCACTATGTCCTGTGGATTTTAATTATAGAAGGTGGAAGACTACTTCCCCTTTTGAATAGTTTCACTGTTTCTCAGTATTTTAAAAAATTTTATGCTAATCATTCCCCCTCCTGACAAATAAAAACTACATGCATTATTTTTAAGAGACAGCCTTAAGTTTTATTATGGTGCTGCTGCTGCTAATTTTAATGATTACTTTAGTTCCATCTAACACTAAATTGTGGTCAGTAAAGAACAATTTCAAAAATAACAAATTAATATTAATAGAAATGAAATTTAGAAAACAAGAAGTAAATAAGAAAAAAATATATTTAAATGTACTTTTCTACTCATTACATTTAAAATACCTTTTCTGGCTATTTCTAATTTACCTAATATGATAAACAGGGTAAAATGTTTAGCACTGTATTTGGCAGGTGTTCAAATAAATATTGGTCTCTTTCTCAATCTCTCATTTGGATCTTCTTAAAATGACTACCTTAAAACACAACCAGTTATTTTCACAGAATTGGACTGTGGAGTTAATTTTAAAGGGCCAATGTATTTACTGAGTGTGTGTGTGTATATATATATACACATATATACACACACACACATATATATATATATATACACACATATATATATATACACACACATATATATATACACACATATATATATACACACACACACACTCCCTCACCCTACACACACACACACACACACACACACACACACTCAGTAAATACATTGGCCCTTTAAAATTAACTCCAAAGTTAATTTATATATAAAATATACATATATATATACACACAAACACACACTCTCTCTATATATATATCTGCCCATATTCAATATATAGTGTATATGGTTGGATGAGTAAAGGACCCTTAATATTAACCACATAAAACAACTGGAGAACTGTACACAAGTAATGCAATACATGAGTTTTGGTTAGTTTCCGCAACAATCACAGAAGAATCACAAAATATCAGTAACTGAGGGCTATTTCTTTCATGATCCTCTGGAATTGGGAAAAAATACCACCGGCCACATGACATATGACTGCTACCTGCCTGTAGCCTAATACTGGACCAATATTCCTACCAGAAAACAATGCTCTATGTCCTGCCATTTACAAATTGAAAAGGTGCTTTGGCCACACACAGGTTCAGCCACTGACTCAAACTAGTGGGACCAAAACAATGTCGCTCTGAGAAGATCAGGTCCACTCCCAACGTGAGCCCCAGCTTGCTATTTGGAAAATAAAGAAAAGAAAAGCTTTTAGTGACAGAGAAATTGAAATTAGATACGAGTTAGGAGAGGGCAACTTTGGTGCCTTGAAAAATCCATCTGTCTGGGTAACTGAAAGCACTGTTATATCTGGTTTTGAGGTATAAGCAAGTAAAGCAATTATAAAAATTAAAATTATAAAAATCATTACTATTAAACACGTATTTCAGCAACATTCTTGTGTTAATTGTTTCTGTGGGGACATTCTCAATATCATGTCTGCTTCCTCAAGGTTTGGCAGCTTTGTTGTTGTTGTTGTCGTTTTTACCTCTTTTTTAAAAAAAAAAATAATAAAAAAAAGCTTTTGGCTTTTAACTTTTTTTTAAAATTATATGGTTCTGGGGTACATGTGCAGATCATGCAGGATTGTTTCATAGGTACACACATGGCAATGTGGTTTCCTGCCTCCATCCTGCCATCACCTATATCTGGCATTTCTCCCCATGTTATCCATCCCCAAACTCCCCACCCCCACCGCTGTCCCTCCCTTGGGCCCCCCACAACAGACCCCAGTGTGTGATGCTCCCCTCCCTGTGTCCATGTGTTCTCATTGTTCAACACCCACCTATGAGTGAGAACATGCAGTGTTTGATTTTCTGTTCCTGTGTCACTTTGTTGAGAATTATGGTTTCTAGATTCATCCATGTCCCTACAAAGGACACAAACTCATCATTCTTTATGGCTGCATAGTATTCCATGGTGTATATGTGCCACATTTTCCTTGTCCAGCCTATCGTTGATGGGCTTGTGGGTTGGTTCCCCATCTTTGCTATTGCAAACAGTGCTGCTATGAACATATGTGTGCATGTGTCTCTATAATAGAATGATTTTTAATCCTTTGGGTATATACTCAGTAGTGGGATTGCTGGGTCAAATGGAATGCCAACAAATATATATGAAAAAATGCTCATCATCACTGATTATTAGAGAAATGCAAATCAAAACCACATTGAGATTCCACCTCACACCAGTTAGAATGGCAATCATTAAAAAACCTGGAGACAACAGATGCTGGAGAGGATGTGGAGAAATAGGAACACTTCTACACTGTTGGTGTGAGTGTAAACTAGTTCAACCATTGTGGAAGACAGTGTGGTGCTTCCTCAAAGACCTAGAAATTTTTTTTACTATTTTAAGAATACTTTTCCCTGTCTGGTTTAGATGCTGTCATAACTTTTATTCACATGAATATTGCCTTGGTATCCATCTCATCCTGTCTCTGTCTTGTCACCCTTGACCTACATATTTGAAGGCAGTCTTCACCCATCTCCTGCTTTTGTGTTCTAGACAAACGAGGCCCTATAATCTGAATCACTTGAGAGCCTTACTCTGCTCCTGGAAGTCCCAAGAATGGGCTTACTGGGTTCCCATGCTTATACTCACACACTCATCAAGTTAATACATCCAACTTTGTCACAGGAAACATACCTAGGTAATGTCCTGATACGGTTTAGCTGTGACCCCACTCAAATTTCATCTTGATTGTAGCTCCCGTAATTCCCATGTATTGTGGGAGGGACACAGTGGGACATAGTTGAACCATGGGAGTGGTTTCTCCATACTGTGCTTGTGATAGTGAATAAGTCTCAACAGATCTGACGGTTTTAAAGGGGGTTTCCCCTTTTGCTTGGCTCTCATTCTCTCTTGCATGCCACCATGTAAGACGTGCCTTTTCTCTTCCACCATGATTGGGAGGCTTCCCTAGCCACATGGAACTGTGAGTCCATTAAACCTCTTTTTTTTTTTTTTTTAAAATAAATTACCCAGTATTGGGCATGCCTTTAATCAGCAGTGTGAAAATGGGTTAACGCATGCCCTGAACACCAATGAATGCTTTGGCACACTGGCTCCTTCTGCCCTCTCTGCTCCCAACCTGCTGGGTAAGTGCTTATACTGAACTGGTATATAATTCAAATTTCTCCAACACTATAAATATATATATTTTTTCCAAACAGCAAGCTGGAGCTCTGGGAGTGAACACTGATCTCCTGTGAGCTACACTGCTTTGTCAATTTGAGTCAATGGCTGAATCTGTGTGTGGCCAAAGCACCATCTCAATTTTTTTTTTCTGTCTTTTACCTAGACACTATCCCCATAGACCACAAAGACACCCACTTTATCATAATAGGGATCTCTTAAGCCCTCTGTATTTAAGAATCAACACAATTCTTTCCAGTATAGGGAGAAAATAATAACAACAAAAACATCAATAACAACAAAAGATTTTTAACATTGGCTTTCTGCTTTCAACAAGCCTTTTGAGTATATAGGAAGAAAAAGTGAAATTGGGATTTCACGTTATTAGCAAAGAAATGAGAATCCTGTCAGTTTGCACAAAGGCATTATTATTCAGATACTCACCTTTTTCTTTCACATTAGATACTAGGATTCATGTTGTGCTTTGCTGTAATTCTACAGCTACTATTCATTAAACAATATGATTTGAGCTTTTCATAGTCTTTGAGAGGAGAGAAGAAGAATATTGGAGGCCTGGGGATCCAGAGGAACTCAAGTGTACCGGCTACCTATTCATCAGAATGGGCCCCATCACCTAATCTTTCTCCCTTTTTGCAATCTTTGTTAGAAGAAATGTTTCTTATCATGCCCTTTCCATTCTCATTAAAGTTCAGGTTTAAAAAAATTAAGGCAGAAGGGCTGAATACTTTATCTAACTGATGACTTGTAATAGCACATTGTGTGGCTTTGACCTTTTTGATGGATTCTCTAATGCAGCTGGCTTATTATTTCCAGTTTTTTAAATCCCCATATCTCCTTTTTAACAGCATCCATGAACTTCTTAAAAGAGAACAAGAAGCATTGTGTTCAATGAACTCTATATTTTAAAAAAGTCCAGAGGACATAAAGAATTCACCAAATGGGAGGTGATTCCCCACAGAGATGTCCATAAGGCATTGAAGCAAAAATGCTGGTACGCTAGGGCAAAAGTAATAGGGCCACCTGACAAGAAGGGTAACAACAGACAGTAAAGGACAACTAACAGAGTGTACTGAAGACTGAAATCTCCCCTATTGGATTAGAGTAACTGAATGACATTTCTTTCCTCCCATACAGAGAAGGAATATGGATTCAGATAGCTGAGATAATGAAACAGTCTTTTGCATCAACGTATTTACCTGACACATTTTCTGTTCTCATTTTATTATGCCATGCACAGATTCCAGGAACGTTGGATTTATTCGGGCTCCTGTTATATCTTTCTGCCCAGGAACCAGCTTGAATATTAGTATTCAAAACAACATTTATTTTGTAATTTGGTCAGAGCTCTGTGGGGACAGCAGCTCTCTGGTCCACTCATGTCAGCTGGGGCTGACAGTTGCTATTGGCTAACAGGTGGGACCTCAGCTGGGGTTGTAGCCAGAACATGTGGCTACATGTGGCCTGTCAGTGTGGCATCTAGGCTTCCTCCCAGCATGGTAGCCATGCCCATATTTCAAATGTTCCAATAAAACCAGACAGAAATATTTTGCCTTAGAAGTCACAGTGCTACTTCCAAATTAGTCACAGCCTCACTCAAAGGGTGGAAAAATAGATCTCACCTC